CACACACACACACACACACACACACACACACACACACACACACACACGCACAGATCCATACACGTTACACTGGAAAGATGTCGGTACGCAGATTCGAATGTCTGCGTAGGGAATGGTACCGTACGACACACGAACGCTTACATACATTTACACTTGACACGCACACCCACACATACATACAATTAGGATATTGAAACTTGTGCGCGCGCTCTCGATAAAAGGAGAAAAAGAAAAAGAAAAACAATGAGAGGTGTACATACGAGGCAAACGCAGGAAGAAGGGATTTAACATGAGCACGCGCGCTTAACACGCGAGTTGAGACGAAGAAGGCACGCACGCGCGTACACGGACATATACTCGAGTGTACAAAACTTGTACAAAAGATATTTAAACAAACAAACAAACAAACAAACAAAAAAAAAAAAAAAACGATGCACGCCGCAGCCCGGCCGGGGTTGCTGCCGATTGGTAAAGGGAACAAGCCAAAGATACGTTAGTTTTCATTTTTATATTTAAACGAGAAAAACAAAATGATACGAGACGGGAGAGAAATACGAGAGAATTATTATAACGATTATTAATCATGAATGTGTGAACAAGGACGCTGAATACTATATTAGGCCGGTTCTTAGCTTTTTTCTATCGATGGTGTTCCGTCGCCGCGCTGGACCATGCCGCCGTGCTTGGTCCCTCGGCGCTTCGGAGTCGGGACAGTTGCGTTTAAGCTTGAATTTTTATCTTTTCTCTTCGCTAAATGCAGTGAAATTCCAATGGTGTTTAATTCTTTGCTCTCCACCTTTCGTAGAACGAGATGGCGCCCGGGGGACCCTTCGGAGAGCTTCCTCTGGCGGGAGGGAACGCGGATTCCCCTGTCGAGGAACATGGTCGCGCGTGCGCATCCGCGGAACACCGAGGAGTGACAATTGACCGCGCGCGGTAATTACGTAGTTCCGTAGAATTTTTGCATGCGAGGCTCGATTTCCAAATTTCACGGCAAAAAGAAAGAGGTTTTCTTTTCTGGAAGCGAGCCGCGGCTGGACGATGGCCTTCCAATGGCCGCGGTGCGTTTAACGCGCGTGTTACGCCGTCGCCCTCGACGAGCCTGTCGCGAAACGAACTCGTCGAGTCGCCGATGAACGCGCTCTTCTGTTGAAGGAACAAAGCAAATTATTATGTGGAATATAAATAACGATATATATATTACATATACGTAATATATGTATATATATATATTTATTATACGATTAAAGAAACCAGTGAAAAAAAAAAAAATATATATAACGAAACAGTTAGAGGAGACAAATCGCGATGAAAAAGGTGCAAGCTCAATACGCCCAGCTTCGATCTGGTGGCGTTCTTCTTCATCCTCTACTTCATCTTCATCCTCCTCCGCTCTTCTTCTGCTACCACCCATCCGTGCTTCCTCTCGCGAGGGGGCGCGATCGACTCGTAGCTGAAGGACGTATGTTTGCTTCGACGACACTGAGCTAATCGGACATTTTTCGGTGTATTCGTTGCAGGGTAAATTCAGTGTCTTCTTAGTGATCGCGAGCTTAACTCTGGCTCGAGAGAGACGATCTTGGATTTTTCGATTATCGCATTGCTGTTGTAGCGCGGCGATAATGCGCGTCGTTTACGTTCAGGTTCGGTTCAGAGCGGAACTGAACGCCACGAAAAATACGCTAAGTAACGCGCCGAGACTTTCGTGGCGCTCGGTTCACGCCCGAAGACTGTTTTTAGGCGCTAGTTCGAGAAAAATGTAATTCGGCGACGTCACGCATGACTGTATTTCGCCAACGGTATTCCGCGTCGACCGCTTCCAATCCGTGTGCCAAAGATACGCGAAATTCTGATGGAAAATAAAGTATCGCGTTCGAATTAGTGTTCGCGAGCTTTCCGTGCTTCCTGTCGTACATCTCTCGAAGTTCCTCGTCCTGGACGATCCGTGTTGTCCTTTTTCTTGTCGAAATTTCTATGTTTTGTCGCGTCTCGTTATCTTCTTCGTTTCCTTTCTTATCTTCTAACATTAGCGAAAAGGCCACCTCGCGTTGTCGTTGCTTTTCATTTCTTTGTTTGTATTTGTTCGAATAGACGAAGCGTGCAATACGTCACGTTTGATTTATTTTTTTTTTTTTTTTTTTTTAAATCTCAATCTCGTAGCACTACTGTGATCGACGCTTCGTCTCGTTAAGTTCGCTCAAAATTATCGCAATCTTCTATGCGATTCGATTTCTGTAAATATATATACATATATATATATATATCGTTTCTCGTTGTACATATTTATTGATTCCTCTCGGATCCTTTCGTTCACTGTTCTCGGGAGATCGTCTCATTGTCGATCAGCGAACAATTTTTTAGAGATATTTATCGCGCGTCTGAGATCATCGTGCAACTTCAAATTATTGTCATGTTATTCTTTATTATTATTATTATTATTATTATTATTATTATTAATTTTTTTTTTCATTTTTGCTTCGTCGTTTGCGCGGATGAACTTTTAATCGAAACGAATAGCCGATGCCTGTTTCGCGAGTAAACAACAAATTAATCATGGTATATATTTATATACGTAGAAACGCTGCGTTTCTATTCCTATATATATACGTATATTATCTAGTGTGTTTTTTTTTTACGAATTTGTTAGATAACACTGAGCGAAATAGAGACAGAGATTCGTTTTTTCATATGCATATATATTATCCATATATATGTATATACATACGCTAAGTTAAGCATTAACTTATTTTTACTGTTATTATTTATAATAATTTTTAATGATTGCGACGATGAAAAATTGTATGCAATTGGCGTGTTTATTCGACGAAACATTTTGTCTCTTTTTTCACCTATCCAAGAGCCACGGCCAACCAAACAAAAAAAAAAATGATACAAAAGGAAAAAAGACTCAAAAAAAAAAACTACCACCAGTACACTGTCCGCCACCGTCATCCCCCTCCAGGATCTTCACGTTGTCCTCTTCGTCTTCGTCATCAACCATCGGCTCTTCGCCCTTTCGTCGTCCCGTTCTTCATTCGCAGATCCCCTTGTCCACCCCAACCATCCAACCTAACACGCTATTCTTCGTATATCGTCGAAATGAACGACGTATCGTGAAGTACACGCGAAAGAAAAGAAATAAAAAAAAACAGAAAAGAGAGAGAAAAAAATAAGTGGAACGTAGACGGTGCGACGGTCACCGAACGACAAACGACGGCATCGTTCTTCGAGCGAGAAAAAAAAAAACAAACGGTTATCCAACATAATTATAGCATCTGTCTATGAAAATGAGAGAAAGAGAAAAAAAACAAAAAAGAGACACACACTCACACACGTAAGTTATATCGAAATAATTAGTGAGAGACGCTGTATGATTGTGTATATCAACAATAAATAATTGCTGTGATTAGAATCGATTATTAGTAAGTAGTTAAGGACAATTTTTAAGGCGCATCGCATGAGATAAAAGAATGGGGGGGGGGGAAAAAGGAGAGAAATGGAGCACTTGGTGTTCGCGCATCGCGTGTGTGCGTCCGTGTGTATGTGTGTGTTTGCGCGCGTGTGCGATGAGAGACTGTGAAAGAAATGGAAAAAAAAAAGGGGTGGAAACGAGAGACGAACAGAATAGGAGAGAGAGAGAGAAGAGACACATCGCGTGCCAGAGAAGAAAACTGCGAAGAGAGAGAAAAGAATGAATAATAGAAGCGAACGCGTTTCATAGGGGTGACTTAAGAGGCTTTACGTTTTCGTTTTCCCCCAAAATGGCGAATCAAGTACGTGCGCGCGTGCGTGTAATCCTCCTCGATCGTCGAGAGGCATTACGCGAGTCTGAATATAGCTATCCTTGCATTAGGACAGTGTAGATCCATGGGAGAACGCTTCCTTTAAGGAGGACTCAATCGGGAGGCGATTGCCGCGCGCGTTTACGTAGACAAACACAAACATACACACACACACACATACACCACCATAGTGCTCTCCTCGATCGAGTCACTCTGCCTTGGATCAGAAGTTTCGCTTAATTGATCTGGACCAGAATTTAATGTCCTTTTAACCCTTTGCGATACAGATTTTCTGATTTTAGCAGAGTTCTGTCGAGTCTCGCTCGACACAGAAATGCAAAAGGTTAATCTATCGCGCAACCCTTTCGGTACCGGGACCGCTTACAAACGCTCAGCGACCATCTGTGGGCGTCCATCCGGAACGGTAGCACCGAAAGGGTTAACGGCGAGTCGACAGAGGAGAGCGCACCGTCCACCCTCGAGAGTGGACGGATCGAGAACAACCCTGCGTTTCCAAAGTCCCCTGGTAACTTTGATTTTATTCCACGGCGGAGAACGGTGGTCGGTGCGAGCATTTTTCATTTCTTCTCGTCTGTTGTCGCGGGTGTCTATATCCATCGAGTGCATCGCCACTGTCCACCGAGCTTCGACCAAACCAAATCCAATCGAACCCAAGGCCCTCGATGGTTTCCCCCGTAATTCGTCCCCACCCCCCCTCGACCCGGTTATCGTTTCCATCCTCCTCCCAAACCACTGAATTTCCTCTCTCGTCGCGCGACCAGAAACCATCGTCGCGCCTGATATACTCCAGAAGCATATCCGGTGACACATATGACTAGGCTACGAATAATTAACCTCTCTTTTGCTCCGATAAGCAAGCTCATATTTATTCGGCGTGTATTGTCACTCTCAAATAGATGATTAATTGTATACTTCGTCGGGACATCTCTAACACGTAGATACCTTCGATCAGTCGAGTCTTGGTAGTGTCTAGTAGCCACTAAGGCGTCGTCTGTCAAGTGTAATTTTGGTATTAACGGTGAAGGGAGCCGCGTCAGAGGGTTCGGCTGACGAAAGGGGACGTCTCGCGGGTACGCGCCACGTGAACTTCGTGGTATTACTCGAATTACAATGTGGAAGAACAGTGTTTTGAAGAACAAGCGACGTGTGTGAGCGAAAGTGGGAGAGGAGACGTCAAGGGACGCTTGGAGCAACTTGGACTTCGGGAATATCAAGGTTCCTCCAGCTGTGCAATGTCATCCGGGAGTCGAAAAGGATCTCGACTCGTCCAGGTCTCTAACGAACCTACAACTTTGTAACTAGGCCGAGTTTTGAAAGAACTTAAGACTTTGTATACATCCTGTTGCAGTAAGGGACATTTGATCACCTGGACCTTTGCTTGATGGTACACACGGTACAAGTCCATCCACCTAAAAGGACCTCCGGAGCTCCATGTCGACTACATGCTCGTACCATGTCATCCAAGCTTGAAACAATCTGCAGGCTTGTGTGCTAATATACAATTGATGCGGATCTAAGATTTGAAGAGATCACCAAGTTTTCTGAAACTTTATTTGCTGATATAACATCGTTAATTGAATTTGAGAGGACCTGAAGCTTCGAGTACTGAGTACTAGAGTCTTATCCAAGATTCTTGAAGACCTCTTGAGTTGTTTCTTGAGTACATCAGACTTGAGTACGAAGCCCCTCGCCACCTTCTTCGTATACACAACATGTACGAGCAGCTCGATTCGAGAAAGAATGGTATCCGTGCGTCGAGCATTTTTGGCTTTCCCGTAGCCAACGAAACTGGGGGTTCCCTACAGGAAGTCCAACTAGAAAACGTCGATCTGATCGTTCCCACCCTCCCCCTTTCGTCTTGTCACTTGCCCTCGAACGAAATTTATTGAGAAACGAGGACGTTGCGCGCGTCAACGTCGATAGCAACGCGATCGTATCGTTGTGGCGTAGAGCAATCTGTTAGTGCAGGGGCCTTATCCTTACTGCGCGGGTCCTGGCGGGGATTCGTCGCGAAAGCAATCGCCAATTTCTAGACCACGATAGAGAACAAGACGATAAAGAAGAAACGTTGCCAATATGGGAATAAGAAGATTGGAACGAAGTAGCGATACGTACTGTTCAGAGCAATTGGGGATCGTGTATTATTTGTACAGAACCAAGAAGACATTGCAATCCTGAATTACAGTAATATATCATTCACAGAGCACGAAGATTTTCATTTCAAGATGTAATAATCCATATGTGAGTGGGAGCATTCCAGATCCAAAGAATCCGCCTCCATAGCAGAGAGTTGATCAGCCAACGTTCATGGACATGCTCGAATTAATCGAAGAAGCTGAAGATCCTCCACTTGTTTCGAACAGTACACGTAGGAATTAATCAGTATTAATATCAGCACCGGATCAGCTCGATTCACGTTTGAGGAGCATAGTCCAGCGAAGAAATCTAAAGTACACGAAGCGACCAGACGGTTCTAGTGTCCCAGAATGGCGGCCAAGTTGTCGATGGACGCATCCTCGAACGATGAAACCCCCGTTCGTGACGGATCGTCGTCAGGTGCCCAACCTTACCGTAACGCAAGGCAATCAGCTAAGAAATAACTTAGTTTTTATAGGATATTGAAACACGCGCTCTACTTTGGCGGGGCGCTGAATTAAGGGCAACACCTTTCTATCTCTCGTCTGAAGGGCGCGTGGAACAAAATGGTCGAGCGCGATCGAGCGTTTGGCCAAGATTCTCAATGGCATATTTTTCTGTAACGATTGAGAGCGAGAGAGAAAGAGAGAAATGGAAGAAATAACGTTGTATTTATAAAAAGAAAAAACAAAAAAACAAACAAACGATAATAATGCGAAGGACTAAAGAGAACTTCGAGTAAGCGAGACACGCAAGATGCTGGATGGCAGAGATGCATGGATGCGCGCGAGTTTTTCATTGTTTTCCTCTTTATGTGTGCCAAAAAAATACAAACGAAAAAATAACAAAAAAAAAAAAAAGAGAGTACGAGAAGAAAAATTTGAGGATCGTGGAGATTGTTCAGCGAGCGGCTCAACCTTGTGCCAAGCTTAGATAATACGCGGACTGAATAATAAACACGTGTGCCAAATCGTCGTTACACCTCCACCGCTGCAGCTGTTTCGAGTATAGGTAGGCTCTGTTCTGTCGTTTCTCCCTCGTTGCCGTGCCCTGCTTGCCAGCCTTCGGTCCACGCGCTTTGTTCACCTGTGGAACGATAACCGCAGGCTTGGTCCGAGCAGTGACGAGAAGCCGGCAAACGAGCGACGGAAGGAAACGTTGGCCAGCATCGTTCGCGAAATGTCCGCTTTCTGGGTCGAAGCAGAGACACACTCGACACCGTCGAATCCTCGTGGAGATGAGGGCGAGTCCAACAACTCCACGCAAATGGCTCGAAAAAAAAAACCCGTAACAGGGTCAAGCGGTCTCGCGGATTGCCAGAGGATCCTCGATTAGGTACCTCGAGTTTTCTCCGCTTTGTTGCCAAGTTTCCAAGCTCGTATCACCAGGAGAGTCGGACATATGTGCCAAATCGACGTCGCTCGCGAGTTCGAGCGTTAGGAGAGATAAATAAACGGAGAAGTGGAAGTTACGTTTGACCCGATGGCCGAAGTGTCAGAGGCGACTCTGTAAGTGGACGTTTCGGACGCACGACGCGTCGACGAAGTGGAATTTCGTTTTCTACGGCAGTTCAGATCCTACCCGAATTAGTGACGTGCCCTTGTCGGGCGCAAGAGACAGGGATTATGTAAAAATACGAAAGTCTGACCTTGCGAATATTGGGAACTCCAGTCATCCACTCGAAATGTCGTCTCGCGTTATCCAGCGACGATAACGGGGTAGCGCGCTTCCGTTTACGAGAACCGAGCTAAACGTATCTTCTCCCATCGATGCGAATCCCCGATACCCCCCCCCCCCCCTTCTGTCTTCCCTTTCGTTCTTCTCTTACGTCTTCTTCGGTAGCTGCACAACTGTTCGCGATCGACGCAGAAGCTGGGCGAATGCGTTTCGACGATCCGCGATAGGCTGGGAGAAAGATCAGGAATGGATAAGTTGTGATCGCAGGTGCTCGTCGTACGATGTTGCATATCAAGCTTTGTGAACGCTGTAATCAGACCGTGGGCAACTCATCTATTTACCTCGAGACGAAAGATGCAGGATATCAGCCTAGGAAACAGTGAAAGTAGCTGATAAAGAAGCGAAGTGCCAGGAAGAAAGGCAAACAAATTAGGATGGATGTAGAAAGAGAAACCAAGACTGCATTCAGAATGGCTGACACTTCTTGCAAGTTTAAAGTAAAAGTGTTTTAGGTGACGTTGAACAACCGACTGAGTCCGAGCCGACTACAAGCGTTCACTGGAGCGTCGCAAATGTCGCACAAGATCGGAAGAGTACGGCGATCACGGTAAATGTTGACAGAATTGTTCCGCGCGAGTATTTTATACGATTTACAAGTATTACTATAATTAACCTCCTCTTTGAATTGATCGTAGGCGACGGCTATTAGAGACTCGAGACCTTAAGACTTCCGTGAATAATTTCTGGACACTTAAATGTATCTTTCATTGATCTGGTCAAATTGTTGGAGGCTTCCGATAACGACATATCACATTCAGGTGTCCGTGGACACAACGTACCGCGCGGAGGATTCTTACAGTTTCGACTACAGTTTCGTGTAATATCAAGAGGAAACAATGAAAGAATAGTTTGGGTAGCGGCGCATTTAAAATTGAGTTACTCGTGACTTAGTATCGCGGATCGTTTCGCATCGCCATGTAATTTTCTTCGTTGGTCCTTTGCAGCGATCGGTTCGTCGTTGGAATCACCGTAGCTGCGCGCGGAGGACGAAGCACGTGACACGAGAGACCATGTTCCCCTTCCACGTTTTCCTTTGCACAATCTGCACCAAAAACCGATCCGATCACGGCTATATGTGTGTATACTTCGACCGTTCCTTCTCTTCTTCGTCATCGACACGTCTTTCCTTTTTATCTTCCTCGGCCGATAACGACTTATGTTGAAAAGCCTTTACGAAAACAGGGTCAAAAATACTTACGTGTAATACGAGTATTTTAAATTTTTATCGCGGTTAAAATGAGGTAAAAGAAAAAAAAAAAAATGTGAAGAATAAATAGTAAATAGGCGAGAGAACA